GCCCATTTAGTCTCATGTATCTACTTGAGCTAAGAAGCACACTCTTCACGAGTATCATTTTATGTCCCATAGTCCAGTCTAATCTTTGTCTGAACTGTTGGCCTCGAGAATGGTTTTAGTTTTGGGCTAACAGAGAGTCTGGGGGCCGTGTCTTCTGGGGTCCCTCCAGTCTCAATCAAACCATTCAAGTCTGGTCTTTTTACTAGAATTTGAGTTCTGCACCCCACCTTTCTCCTGCTCCATCAGGGACTCTCTGTTGGGTTCCCTGTCAGGGCGGTCATTGGTGGTAGCCAGACACCATCTAATTCTTCTGGTCTCAGGCTGATGAAGTCTCGGTTTATGTGGCCCTTTCTGTCTCTTGAGGAGCCACCTTTTTAACAGGAGTCTTTCCGTACTTCTGAATGGGGATTTCCTTTTGTGTCTTTCCACTCCACCCACACAAGAAAGGCTTGGGAGGCAGAGCCTGGGATGTTTCGGAAAGCTCTGGTGGCATTCCAGTTTAATTTTCTCTAATAGCTCCGTTTCCTCTCTCTCTTCAGTTTCATAGCCCTGAAACTACCATGGCTTTCTTTCTTGTTATCCTTCCTTACCAGCTGCATCCGCCTTTCCATACATTCAATCTGAGCAAGGAGCATGTCTCTCTCAGACTTCAGCTCCTTGATCTGAAAAAAGTCCGTACTTTATTCAGATTTGCTTAGTTTTTACCTGAAGTCATTTTTCTATACCAGGATCCCGTTCAGGATTCCCCGTTATCTTTAGTCGTCATGGCTCTTTAGGCTCCACTTAGCTGTGCCAGTTTCTCAGACTTACCTTCTTTTTTCTAACTTTGACAGGTAGGAGAAGTACTGCTCAGATATTTTGTAAGATGCTCTTCTATTTGTCTGATGTTTTTCTCATGATTAGACTGGGATTTTGGGTTCTTGGAGGAAAATCACAGAAGTAAAGGTCCATTTTCACCATATATCAAGGGTACATGTTACTAACATGATTTAACACTCTTGATGTCGACCTTGATCACCTGGTTGAAGTAGGCTTTGTCAGGTTTCTCTACTGTAATATTGCTTTTTCCCCCTGTTTGCATACTCTAATTTTTGGAAGGAAGTCACAGTGCATAGCCTACACTTAGCTTTGTAAAAAACTGCCAAACTGTCATCCAAAGTGGTTGTACTATTTTTGCATTCCCACCAGCAGTGAATGAGAGTTCCTTTTGTTCCACACCCTTGTCAGCTTTTGATATTGTCAGTTTTTTGGATTTAGGCATACTAATAGTATTGCAACTCCTGGGATTTTTTAGGGAGTTACGAGATTTATTAATGAAATTAGAGCTGTCTTGGATGATCTAGGATATGTATGCATAGCTGTAGTATAGTATCAGCCTGGATTCAGTCAGGAAAATTGAGCCACTAACAATGGTAATGACATAAAGTATTTAATATAGGAATTGGGGCTTATTTGAGTGTGGGAGCGAAGATCTGTAAGACTGCAGACAGAGAAGTCAGCCTAAAGCATTGGAAAGGGGAAAGAAGGTAACTGGTTGTAGGGAAGTCTGAGAAGCTGCCATGTCTTGTCACCACGATGGCGAAGTAGTTACATACAGAATGGTTGCAAAGTTGCTGTGTCATACACTGCCTACAAGTGGGAACTTGTGGAGGTATTACAAAGTCCTGTCTGACTGTCATGACCTTCCAGGAACTGGTGACTACTGCTTCGTTTCCACCTTCCAAATTTCTTCTCAATTTTTCTCATTGGCAAACTCTAACCCAGAACATACAAGAATTCTGGGAAAAATAGTTCCCAGCTCTATCAGGAAGTGGTGGCACTACTAAATTGACAGTGGATAATCAGTACACACCCACACATACAATAGATACACATGTGTATACTCATAAATTATCATTGTTGATCGGGTTGTAACGCAATGCTTACCATAACATGTATCTCACAACTTTAACTGATTACTGATGTCGAGTCAGCTGTGCTTTCTTGGTCCTGCAAATAAACTGTGCTGTTAACAACTCCTGTCACCAGGCGTTTTTGTTCAGCTGCATTGTTCTGCCATGTTTAATATCTGATGCCATCATAGAGAAATATTGGGTAAAAATCGGGCTAAAATTGGACACAGGTGGGAAAAACAAAGTTTCTTCCTGTTTCCATTGATCTTTGATATAGCTTGCTTCTTTTCTGCCTTCACTATTTTCTGCTTGGGAATTCCCAGTGAACTCACAAAAGCTTTAAACATGGCCTTTCTCTTATTTCTCATTTCTACCATTATTTCTTTCCCAAAATATTCATTTCTTTATTTTCTTCTTTTCCATCTTTCACACTGAAAGACATACTCTTGCTTTTTTGTCACACCCTTTCCATGGTCCCTTTGGAGCCAGCCTGAAATAATTTGAATTTCAGGTTTTGAAAACTGGCCACCCCAATATGTATTCCCAGTATGCCTTGAGCAAGTTACCTAAACTTCCTGAACCTTTATTTCCCATCTGCAATAATAATTTTTTAAAAACTTATATAGCATGTTAACGGGTTAAGCACTGTTTTAACTATGTTACATATGCCCAGTGAGGCATCACATTGGCCCTATGAAGTAGGTAATTTTATTATCCTCATTTTACTGATGAGGAGACTGAGGCAGAGTAGTTAAGGAACCTGACTGCTATGGATTGAATTGTATCTGTCAACTTGGCTGGGCTATGATTCCCAGTACTGTGTGATTGTCCACCATTTTGTCATCTGATGTGATTTTCCTGTGTGTTAGAAATCCTATCTTTGTGATGTTGATGAGGTGGAATTAGTAGCAGTTATGTTAATGAGGCAAGACTCAATCTACAAGATTGGGTTGTGTCTTGAACCAATCTCTGTTGAGATATAAAAGAGAGAAGCAAGCAGAGACACATGGGGACCTCATACCACCAAAGAACAAGAGCCAGGAGAAGAGTGTGTCCTTTGGACC